AAGAGAAATTCTAGCCCCCCTGTATGGAGGTCTTCTCTTTTTTTTTTCTTTTCTTTCTTTTCTGTATCCGTTTTATTTATTTATTTAAATTTGTATGCACCTGTTTTGTAGTAATATAAAGGTGTTTGATTTTGCCGAGTTGTTTGTATATGAATGATTGTTCAATTTTTTAAAAAAAGTTTCAAAATAAAAGTCCCAAATGAGAAAACAAGGGATTTAACAAAAGGTTATTACTCAAGACATACAACCCTTTGAAACTCTATTCCAATGTGTTACATACGTACACGAAATCACAAGCACATACAGGGCCCACTAACACTCGTAAAACTGTAAATAATGGTATCCAGGCGGAACATCCTAAGTTTCAGTTTGTGGTCAAAAAACATGAGTAAACCTACACATATCCTGTAATTTGGCACTTGTGAAACCTCTCGGTGATTTGTGAAATTAAATCATATGTCTCATATCCATTATTTTCTATTCAGGTGGAACATTGAGCATCCTAACGGTCCAACGCTAAAGAACCCAGGAACTATAACTGCTTGCAGTTATACCGAAGGACCTACGGAGCCGTGAAATCAACGGTTCCCGCATTCTTCGACAGGGACAGCCGGACTGACTGCTGAAGGTGAACCTATATTGGACTGCACGGTTTCACATTTGTCAGATAAAATACCCGACTACCTCCTGCAGAAGGTCCGCCTCTTTGGAAGTCCGGCGTGTCTAGCGGGGCTTCATCGGGGCTGAAGACCATGATGTCCTGCTTGGTACCACCGAACCGCAGAAAGGCAGGAGACAGAGCCTGTGTCAGGGTCCGGAGCTTCTGCGAGCTGCATGATATTAAAAAAGACGGCATTTCAATACACAGTGCTCACTAGTTAAACATACTACACAATAAACATTGAGTAATACTGAAACCTCGCTAGTTTTCTGCTTTAACATTCGGCTTTTATGAGACTATTTATTTTAGGGAATAGAACATGTTCTACTTCAGCAATCACTACCAAGTATTTAAGGAAAGCAACACTGAAGACCGTAAAACAACTCACCCTAAAGTGAAACCAAATACCGTAAAACAACTGACCGTAAAAGTTGCATGAACTTCATGTCTTCCGTAGCCAAATTTGAATCGATGGCGACGGAGAGAAACCGCTGGTTGACTCTTGCCCGCACCTGGGAAAAGTCGGCACTGATATGCGCAACCTGGGATTCCTGTCCTCCCAGCGCAGCTTCCCGGAGCACAGCCAGGAAAATCAGAGCCACCAGCATCGTGACACCTGCTCGGAGCAGCAGCATCCCGAGTACTAATGGGGGGGGATCAGTTGGCAACGTTCGAAAGCGAAAGTAAAACGAGCAGGTCGGAGAACAGAGCAGTGGCTATTAGGCACTCATCTCACGTCTCCAACCAGATGCTGCTGCTGCTGAAGATAAAACCCCAACGAAGTGTCAATCAAAGCGATCAGCTTCCCGGGCAGTGACCAACCTGTGAGCGCTCCACGGGAGGGGGAGGGGGAGGAGCACTCAGAGCGCACGGTTTGCGGCTAGCCCGTTCATCGTTTGGGCTTCATTTGTATCTAGGCAAGTTCTGAAAGGGTCATGAAGCAAAGTTGGAAATGTAAGCATTTTAACACCTTCCTATGCTGATCCATAATCAGATTTCCCTACCCCAATCGTAGAATTAACCTAGGCCTATATAAACGGGTCTTGGGTCTGCAAATGCTTAGCGCAAAACTAGCGAACAAACAGCCAATCCACGAAGTCAAAACACATAAGGTTAATTTAAAATTCACTGACACATCCAATCAGGTTTGTGCGATAGGCATTGATTGGTGTAAATTGCAGAGTGCGCTGAGTGCTTGATCATACTGTTAATTTAAACCCGGCAAAAAAAATGGGTCGTGGTGGAAAAAGGTTGAGAACCACTGCCTTAGATTACAGGGACGTAACCAGGGTTTGAAAAATAGTGTGGTCCGGGGCCCGGGGGTGGAGGAGAGGGTCTCGTCAATCACACATTACAAAGAGGAGGCCTACTTCTGTTTGCAAGAAACACATTTGTATTGGTGCTCAAAATCTGAAAAACACAAATTCTGAAAAATACACCATACGCCATGTATGTGCCAAGAGCAAGAGTATTTTTTTTATTTTAAACTTGAACAGTTCATTCAAGGTGACCTTGCCACAGCAGAGAGCAAAAACATACTCCACTAACCCTCCCTACAGTGTGACTTACTGAATGAATTTAGGTCTATGTCATAAAGAAAATTATACAGTAGTTAAATATCATGGGTATTTTATGTATCGACGAGCCCTGATCCGAATTGGGCATGTAATTTAAGGTTATTTGTAACCAAACATAAACATAAAAATGAAAGAAAAATGCTTGACATTAACACACCGTTACAAGCTAACATCAAATACACTTGTTGTGATGTTCAGCTTTGACTTTGAAACGTTTCCATGGATACTGTTATTGATACCGTCCCTTTCATAAGCCGTTTATTATTATTTTTACCTTATGTGAAACGTTAATTAGCCTAATCTAGCTCATTAGGCGTAATATGAAAGAAACCCAGTCTTTAACATGGCAAGAGTATATAGCCTAGCCTACGCTTATATTTAACTTGGTTCATACAATTATCTTTGCTCCAAACACTATGCCAGGTCGCTGTTCTGCATGATCACAGCCACACGTAAATCCCTACCGCTTTCAGTGAAGTGCGCGCGTGCGGTTCAGGAGTCACACATCCTCTATCATGCTGATACCGATCTAGCCGTCTGTCTCACACAGCGGACACAATTAATAACACATTCGAACTGAATTAAGAATCCACTTGGAGACATTTTCAACTACTAATTTTTTTTTGTTTTGTTTTAATTCAGGTGATTATTTAGCATCAAATTTTATTGTAATGACTCTTAAAAACATTAACGAGGTCCGAACCTCGGTGACCTCACAGCTGGCTACGGCCCTGTGGCAACGTATAGCCACGACATAAAACATACATTTTTTGGGTCTGAGAAATGGACATACAGTGGTACCTCGGTATACGTCCTTAATCCGTAGACTTATACCAAACAGGACGTGTACCAAACGAATTTTCCCCATGCATAAGAAATAAAGGGAAAATGATTAATCCGTTCCCATGTAAAAATCCTATTGTTATTGACATATTATACATTGATGGGGTTGTATAAAATAAACACTGCTTAATAGTAAAATACATAAATACAAAAGTAAAAATGAAAAGAGAGTTATAGCGCGGGTTGTTCACTGAATGGTAACAACAGGCGTACTGACTCTCGTGGGCAGTCGTGGCTTTGTCTCGAGAGGTAAACAAGGGTAGCGCGCGGTGTCGTGACTCATTTTGACCCATACAAGTTTTAGCACGCGAGTCGTATTCCAAACAAAGGTTGTACACAGGGGCGGTGCTAAAGGCGGGGCCACCGCCCCTGGGCCCGGGTCCTTCCTGGATCGTAGAGAGCCCTCCCCCCAGCCAAATGAGGACCCTCCCCCTAGCCAAAAGAGGACCCTCCCACATAATAAATACACACAAAACTAAATTAATATAATCTCTGCAAAGTTTTTGACAGCTAGAATACACTAATTACAATTTAACTCGGACTTCCGATTCTATATATATGTTATTTTCCATATACATATATACATATATATATATACATATACATATATATACCAAGCATTGTGTATATGTTTCTTTTTTTCTTTATATTTTTACTTATATATTTATACAGTTTTAGAAATTTAGAAATGTTTTCTATTGTTTTTATTGTCTATATTGATATTTTTTGCTGATCCATGGATCCTGTTATACTTTCTTTTTTTTACTGTCTTTTTTATTATTGCTGCTGTTTCTAAAGAATTTCCCCATTGTGGGATTAATAAAGTCAATCTAATCTAATCTAATCTAATATGCCGCAGGCCTTCTGTTTGTTTGCAATTTTGCCATGTAGGCTACGTTCAAAATTGTGTCGTCACGGAGGCTGTTCCAGTTTGTTCAGCTGGCTGAGAGGTGCTGTACGATCTGTCTTAAGTCGTCTTGCTCTTGCAAGGTTTTTGTACCATGTGACATGGTGATGCGTGACGACGTTTTGCAGCGC